ATCTACTTCCCTTCTGAGAGTCTGGAGTTTTGGTATGTCCTCTGCAGAGGATGCTTTTATGAACAGCCCACAATAAAACTCTTGGGTGCTGAGTATCTGATGGGCTTGTATGGGCAGAACTAATGTACACGTTACTAATTTTGTGTATGTGTATGTGGCTAGAAAAAAAGAGCACACCAAAATGTTGTCCTCCACGGGAGGGATAAACATAAAAAAGCCCGTGCCTAAATTTCTCCAGACTCTGCTTGTATATTTTTGCTTAACTGATCCTATTATGATCTTTTTGCCATAATTCACCACAGCTGTGAACACTATGGATATGCCAGAGCCTATGGAAGCTTCTATTGAATTACCAAATGTGTGCATGCTTTAGGTGGCCTTCTAAAACACATCATAAATTGTAAATTGAAGCAGATAGCTTTCAAAATTTAACAGGCTTATATTCAGCCATTTTATACAGAAGAAAACCTATTAGTTTTATTGAGATATATTTGAAAATATTTTTATAATATGGAAAATCATATAAATAGTAGAAAATTGTTTGGAGAAAACCATTCTTTTGGCATTTTTTTTTTAGTGCTTATCAATGCACGTTTTCACACAGTCTTTATATTTTGTATCCTATTCTTTTTGATTTATCATTGTATCATGACCATAGCTGTTACAAGCACGTGCTGAGTTTAAAACAAAGTGACTTATAAAAGTAATAATAACAATGAAATGTCATGTTTGTAAATTATGTTGGCACATAGAAATAATTATATATCAAGTATTAAGTAAAAATATTGAGAAAATAAAAACACATACATTGAATATAGCTAAGAAAATTGCATCACATAGTAATAACTTAATAATACACTATCTGCAGATTATGTCCTTGATTCTGAAAATAAATTTATGAGGTTTGTAAGTTTTTCTGATTTTATAAATGAGGAAATAAAGGTCTAGAAAAATAAATGACTTATTACAAATAAATATATTGCTAGGCAGGACTTGAACCCTGGTGTCCTGATTCTAAATTCAGGGCTCATTAGTCATCACAACTGCCTCTATGCAGAGTCACAAAATTTATAAATTTTTTTTTTTTTTTTTTTTTTTTTTTTTTTTTTAAGACGGAGTTTCGCTCTTGTTACCCAGGCTGGAGTGCAATGGCGCGATCTCGGCTCACCGCAACCCCCGCCTCCTGGGTTCAGGCAATTCTCCTGCCTCAGCCTCCCGAGAAGCTGGGATTACAGGCACGTGCCACTATGCCCAGCTAATTTTTTGTATTTTTAGTAGAGACGGGGTTTCACCATGTTGACCAGGATGGTCTCGATATCTTGACTTCCTGATCCACCCGCCTCGGCCTCCCAAAGTGCTGGGATTACAGGCTTGAGCCACCGCGCCCAGCCTAGAAATGGTTTTAAAGTAATATAAGACAGCTAAATATTCCTAGGTCCTTATTTTTTCTCTCTTAAATAGCATATATTCACAACAATGATAATATTTAAAATTACATTTTAAAATTCTACCAAGTGTTTTATAGAAAGTAATCTTTCTTGGGAGTACAGGAATAATTATTAATAGGAGAGGTTTATGAAGGAGAGCTAAATTGGTAAACATTAGGGAAAAGATTGAAATAAAAAGTCAATGGTGTTACAAGCAGGAGGTGCACATGCTCCGCAGTGAGCTGCTGACATTGTGTTAAGGCAGGATTCAGCTGCTCTTGGAAGGGCAAGCAGCCAAAACTCTTTGCAGGGTAAGTCTGCCAATTGCTGTACAAACAAATCTTCAAAGATGAAATAAAAACCTCTTGGTGTCTATTAGAATATTGTTTAGAAACAAATCAAATATTTAGCAATTGAACCAGAATAGCTTATCATCAGTGGCCCACTAAGAATCAGAATTAGCATGAATGAACATAGGAATGGCTCAAAAGGAAGTGACAGGGATGAGTATTCTGAATTTTATCCTTCTTCTTCATCAGTCAAAGGAAGACCTTCTGTCTATCTGATGGTGACTGTCAATAAGTACCCACTGGCCATATCCCAGAAAAGCCAAACTGAAAAGTAGCACTTCTACTTCCTCATGTGCAGAAACAAGTTGTCAGCATTTGGATCTTCAAGAAAAGCTCCCTAAAAATATCACCTCTGACCATATGGAATATTCAGATATGGCCAGACTGAAAAACATATGACGCGTGGAACAGAAACAGAAAGAAGAGAAAGGCATGTGAACACACTCTACAGTCTCTTTGAGCATGTGGTTGAGGAATGAGCCCTATGTCTAGCTGACCAGAAGCCAAACTCTATCACTTACTATTTGCATGACCATAGGCAGGATACTTTAGTTAATGTCTCTGAGGGTCCGTTTACTCATCTTCAGAATGAATAATAATACTTACCTCATAGGTATTGTTAAATAAAGTTAGGAATACTGGTAATTTGCACAGTGTCTGAGATATAGTAAATGTTAATGAATGGTAACCAATATCATATTATTACAGTATTCATATTATCAGGCTTTAAAATAAGTTATGTTATTAAAATTAAGATTAAAACACTGTTTATATTGCTTTTCTTTCTATATACTATACATGTTTTGCAAATGATGGCAGCTATAATCTGAATAATATGACTGAGATTCATAAGGTGATGATAAATAATCTTCTGGCTTGAGTTATGTGGGACAGCAAGGTGGCTATATGATACTTACATAATATCAAAGATGAAATGAAACAGCCAAATTTAAGCAGTGTGTCCCACCACTGGTATAAAACAGGGTATCAAAAGAAGTAGTTTATTCTAATATTGCTCTAGTCTTACAGGAGAACTTAGCCTGAGCCCACAGGATTTCATCATCTTTCATAGACCTTACCTGCTGAGCTACCCAGTGAATGACATCAGTTCTATGGTCCATGGAAGCATGGCCGGCTTAATGGTCATGAAAACCATGCACCCACTTAAAAGGGTCCTACACATTATGTTGCTGGCTGGGCCTGGCATAAAATGAATATCTACCTTGCACATGGGAATTGGGCCAGCATATCTTTATTACCTTGACATCATTACTGGTATCTTTACTGAGATAAAATAAAGAACTTTCATTTAATAATTATATTTGTTATATAGGCATATAAATAAATTCTACTCTCAGTAAATAAAGGAACAGTAGGCAATTTTATCAAAGCATTATCAGAAAAGAAGACTCAAAGCTGAGCTGTTTCCTATTATTAGCCTATTAAGCCCAATATTGAGTCAATCCCAATAAGTATATAGATACAATTTTATAAGGTACTAACATGTATTCATTATATTATTAAAGTTTGCAAGTTCTTATGTTCTGTAAATGTTTTTGCCTCAATTTATTTGAGGCTATTTCAATTTTATACTTACTATAACAATAGTGTACGTACACATATATGCTTAAAAAATGACATAGCTTGCCTTGTGTATGGTCACACATACTGTTTAGCTAATTGAAGATCATGATGAAGTGTCCACATGAAGACCAAAAATGGAAGTAACATGGAGAAAACAACTCCTTATATTTCCCAAAATTGTTATTATAAGAACATCTTATACTGAGACACTACCTTTCTCTGGGAAACACACAAGTCTAAATAGTTTGCTTTATGTTCCTAAAGAAGTAAAATTAGTCCTATTGGTCAGATTAATCAGGGGAAGTCATAAATAAATATACTAATTTAAATAGTGGAGAAAATTAAACTCTATTATTCTGTTATTTTTAATATTATCAAAATATTCATACATTAAATATTGAGAGTCATATTATGTTAGAATAATGATCATCCTTTGTAATTAAAAAGCAATAAAGTACAAAATTTATACAAATGGGCTGTAGTTTAAAAGCAGACTCATATGAGAAAAGCAGAGCCATTTCTTTTGGTAGGAATGAACATTCTTCTTTTGAAAAGATTATCCAGCATTACTTATGTGACAAACATATTCATAAAACATTTCTTTCATACAGAGGTACTATTATGCAATTTATATGCACCACACAATTCCTCTTTCTTCCCAAATCCTCAGAAATGTCTATCTAGGTCTCTCTCTTCTCCAAGTGTTACGCATTACGGCTGTAAACACAGCGTGGTTTTTTACAATGATGCAGTCTTCAGCATATCTCTGCTAAAGACCTCAGCAAATCACCTGTTGGAATCTCATCGCTTAAAAGGAAGAACCTAAGGACTAGAGAAGTGAACTTTTTACCTAGTGCTATTAACTAACACAGAAACTTACTAATACAACTAGGACCAGAATCAAGATTTGCTGTTTCTCAAATCATTTTTCTTGACACTCTCCATCTGTTTCTGTTGATAGCAACTTTCCAACATTTCTCACATCTGTCTTAGAGCTTCCTCTATGGCTCTTGACAATATTCATTCAACAACATCCCTAATATCACCTCTGTAATCACACTACACACTATTGCTAGCTTCATGCTTCTGAGCTGCAGCTCTTACCACAACCAATACACTGATACAAATTTCCAGACACCCTACTCTTTACAAAATCATATCTAAGTATCTTAGCTTGGCATTGAAGGTGTTCTATGATTTACCCAAATCTATTTCCTGGACATTGATGGTCAGATGATCATTCAACAGATATTTACTAAGTTCCTATTGCATATCAGATGTGCCAAAATGAGTAAGTCTGGTCTATCAAAGATCTCCTTGCCTAATAGTTTTGTTTAATTACTTGTGCAAAGCAAATTGTCCTATAGAAGCTAATTTAATTATTTTATAGAGGGCCAGTCAGAAAAATTTTAAAAACATATAGCCAAATATACACTAGAAATACTTGTTTTGTATTGATGCCTAAAATACCATAAGATAGATTCAGATTTAAACGTGTCAGTGATCTTCACAACTTGACTCTCTACCCAAGTTCAAGTATGTAGTTTTATGTTTAATGGTCTTGCTCAACTGTACAGATGTATTAAATATCATTTAAGTAAAAAAAGAGGTTAAAAGTTACTTTTCAGTAATAGCTTACCAGGATATATTATGTTGTCTGTGTTTCTTTGAGTCCGGCCTATCAGGACAGTGGTAAGATTTACCGTTGGTTTCTTAAGTGTATTAATTTTCTTCAGCAATGATTTTGCTTGCTTCTGAGACTTGGCATTTGCCAAACTACCAGGCAATGACTGATCTAAACAACAAGTTAAATTAGATAGGACAGCTTGAGTTTTTATTTCAATTATTGATTCTACAAATTCTGTCAGACCTTTCTGAAGAAGTTGAATATCTGGCATGTAACGTTTTATCCACTTAGGTATGGTAGCATTCAGTTCTGACACACTTGTAGAAGCATTGTGACACATTGTTAAAACTTCATGAAGAGTTTTGTTAAGCAAAGAGAAGTTAATTGAAAGATGGATGGATTTTACTTCCAGTGCCTTGAACCTGGAATTTAATACTTGCAGTTGAAGAACCCGATCCCTCTCATTTGTAACCGCACTGCCTTTGTTAAGTGAAATATAATAAGGTATGAGTGTCTGGGTAACTTTAGACTCAACGTCTTGCAACCGAGTTTCAAAAGTTTTGGAAATCTTGATGGCTGAGAGTATTTTTTCTTCCAAATGACTCACAGTTTGCTGGTATTTTCTCATTTGGGAAGTGGTTTCATTGAACATTTGATACATCTTTTGGAAGTTGGACTGATTTAGTTTCTCATCTCTAGGAATACCTGCAAGGGTCTTGGCAACTTGCAAAACAAGGTTATATCTCTGGTTGTCGTTGACCAAAATCTGAATAGAATCATTCAGACGTTGAAACTGAGGAATAAATGTCAAAATTGTTTCCATATTGGAAGGACATTTATGATGGATCTCATAATTATCTTTAATAGTACTTAAAGTCTCTTTTAGGACATAGTTATCTTGAATGAAATCAATGGCATTATTTACAATAGTCATTGTTTTATTTAGGCCGTCTTCCATTTCTAAGGCATATTCACTGATACGTCTTTCTAAGGCATCATCACGACTCTGTACTTCATTTCTAAGTAAGTTGTGTCTTTTTGTAAGTTCTTTTATAATAAAATTTAGACTATTGACAGCACTAGTCAGATTTTCTATCTTTTTCCTTGTCATTACTGCTTCCTTTGGTTGTTCATGTATCACTGTCTGTCTGAGTGATGCTCCCTGCTCAAGCAGGGGTTGAAGGATCTCCATATCATAAGTCAAATCATTTAGTTGCTCACTCATTTTATCCATCTTATTGTCCATTGGAAAGATAACCTCAGCCAATGTTTGGTTTAACACATGTAAACTCTCTTCTGTGTCCTTAAGTTGAAATTTAAAATCATTTCTGCATTTGGATAACATGTCTTTACATTCACCTCTGAGAGACTCTTTCTCCATCTCCAAAGAGATGGTGAGATTGTTAATCTTGCTTTCTTGAATGTGCAAATCATCAAACATTTGCAGCATCATCAAACTCTGCTTCTTTATATTCTCATGTAAAGTAGACATGTACTCAGTGACATTATTGCTAACTGATTCAGCAGCTGGAACATTCTTCTGGTCTGATACCTTTTCAGTTGGTAAAAGCTGCTCATGTATTTCCTTCATCTCTGAAAGAGTTTTATTGAGAGACTCATAATACTGAATGCTTCTTGAGTGTTCCTGTTCTAGAGCACCTTCTAAATGAGCCTGCTTTACTTCTAGTTCTTTAATAGGCTTCTCACATGTAAGAGTCATTTCTTGCCTTACATTTACAATGTGATTCCTTAGATCTACTACATCAGTCAAAGTGGGCCGATTCTCTTTCATTAAAACAAACTTTTGCTGGGCTGCTACTGAAACCACAGATTCATTAACTCTTTGAATTATTTGTCTGGTGCTTTCAAGGTCCTCTGATATACTCGATACAGTCTTGAAGAGCTGTGCTACAGTTTCTTGCATGTCATTTTGAAGAATGTTAAATTGTTCTTTTACTATGTCTCTTATCAGTACATTAATGCTTTTGGATTCTAGACCTAAAGAAATAAATAATAAATAATACAAAATTTTAATTATATAAGACTTTAAACATCTCTAAAAAGATAAGTTTAAGACTAAACATTAATAACATGTATAATAAAAATACTACTTAACTACATTTACTTATAAAATTTTTTAAATGACTGCACTTTATAAAAGGTGATCAATTCCTTAAATAATAAATCTGAGAGGAGACATCACTTGCAGAACATACTAGAACCACAAAACTAAGTAAGGTTCTTTGGACAAAAGACATGAGGGAACTGCTACTGACTTCAGCAATACACTCTGTGTGCAATAATTTTAGGTCTAGTTTTAGTTTTGTAGGAAAATAAATGGCTGCCTTAGTAAATAATTCCTGGTGTTAGCTCATGACTATATTATTAGGTTTCTAGTAATTAGGTTTCAGAGTTTATGCTTTGAGATTATAAGAGCTAATAAATTGACTGAAGAGAAAAACCTTAATGAGATAGATTCCCAAATGAAGAAAAATGAAGTAATATTCATAAGATTTAATAGTGGTTTATAATAACAATATAAAAAATTATGAGGTTTGGTAATTTCAAAATTAAGTCTTCCTCCAATGAAAATAGGAATTCAAGATACATCTGACATTTTATCATAGTATGACATTAATTTTTATCAAAAAGAAGAAAACTTGCAAGTAGTGAAATGCATAGTACTAACTCAAATGTTAGATTACATGGATTAATCATAAGCCATAATTGCAGTAGTCTCTAAATGTAACATTAAAAAAAGGAACAGGAAAAGTGTACTGGACTATTCACAACTATTAATATTCATAACTGTTTAAAATAGGAAATGACTAAAATTGTAAAATCTTTTGCATACAAAGCCAAAAACTGAAAAAAATATATACACTAGAGATATATTTATACTATCTAGTGATGAAGCGCACATAAATGGAAGATATATCCATTCAAATTCAAAATATAATTAATATGGTTTGGCTGTGTTCCCTCCCAAATCTCCTCTTGAATTGTACCTCCCATAATCCCCACATGTTGTGGGAGGGACCCAGTGGAGGTAATGGAATCATGAGGGTAGGTTTTCCCCATGCTGTTCTCATGATAGTGAGTGAGTTCTCACAAGATCTGATGGTTTTATAAAAGGCAGTTTCCCTGCACGTACTTTCTTTCTTGCCACCATGTGAGATGCAGCTTTGCTCTTCCTTTGCCTTCTGCCACGATTGTGAAGCTCCCCCAGCCATGTGGAACTGGGAGGCCATGAAACCTCTTTTTCTGTATAAATTATCCAGTCTTGGGTATTTCTTCATGGCAGTAAAAAAATGGACTAATATAGTTATTACCAGTAGAGTGGGGTATGGTTATCATTAGAGTGGGTTACTGCTATTAAGATACCTGAAAATGTGGAAGCAACTTTGGAACTGGGTAACAAGGAGACAATGGGAACAATTTGGAGGGCTCAGAAGAAGGCAGAAAGATGTCAAAGTTTGGGGCTTCCTGGAGACTTGTTGAATGGTTTGGACCAAAATGTCGAGGCTGAGGTGGTCTCAGATGGAGATGAGGAACATATTGGGGATTGGAGCAAAGGTGATTCTTGATATGCTTTAGCAAAGAGACTGGTGACATTTTGCCCCAGCCCTAGAGATCTGTCGAACTTTGAACTTAAAAGAAATGATTTAGGATATCTGGCAGAAGAAATTTCTAAGTAGCAAAGAGTTCAAGAAGTCACTTGGGTACTCTTAAAAGCATTTACTTTTATTAATCCACAAAGACATGGCTTGGAATTGGAGCTTATATTTAAAAGGGAAGCAGAACATAAAAGTTAAAAACTTTGCAGCCTGATGATGCAATAAAAAAAAGACCTATTTTCTGAAGAGAAATTCAAGCTGGTGGAAGAAATTTGCATAAGTAACAACGAGACAAATGTTAATTGCCAATACAATGGAGAAATGTCTCCAGGGCACATCAGAAGTCTTCACAGCAGTGCCTCACATCACAAACTGGGAAATCTAGGAGGAAAAAATGGTTTCATGGGGGCCTTGCTGCTTTGTGCTGTTTTAGGACTTGGTGCTCAGTGTCCCAGCCATGGCAAAAAGGGACCAATTTTCAGCTCAGGCCATTGCTTCAGAGGGTGCAAGCCCCAAGCCTTGGTGGCTTACCCATAGTGTTGATCTTAGAGGTGCACAGAAGTCAAGAATTGAGGTTTGGGAACGTCCACCTGGATTTCAGAGGCTATACGGAAACATATGGAAATTCAGGCAGAGGTGTGCTGCAGAGGCAGAGCTTTCATAGAGAATCTCTGCTAGGGAAGTGCAGAAGGGAAATGTGGGGTGGAACCCCCCATGTAGAGCCTCCACTTGGACACTGCCTAGTGGAGCTGTGAGAAGAGGGCCACCATCCTGCAGACCCGAATGATAGATCCACTGACAGCTTGCACTGTACATGAGGAAAAGTCACAGACACTCAACACCAGTCCATGAAAGCAGCTGGGAGGGGGTGCTGTACCCTGCTAGGCCACAGGGGTGGAGCTGTCTACGTCCATGGGACCCACCTTTTGTATCAGTGTGACCTGGATGTGAGATATGGAGTCAAAGGAGATCATTTCGGAGCTTTAAGATTTAATTGCCCCACTGGATTTCGGAGTTGCATGAGGCCTGTAGCCCCTTTGTTTTGGCCAATTTCTCCCATTTGTAATGTGTGCATTTACCCAATGCCTATACTCCCATTGTGACATGAAAGTGAATAACTTGCTTTTGATTTTACAGGTGCATAGGTGGAAGGAACTTGCCTTGTCTCAGATGAGACTGTGGACTTCTGAGTTAATGCTGAAATGAATTAAGACTTTGGGGGACTGTTGGGAAGGCATGTTTGGTTTTGAAATGTGAGGACATGAGATTTGGAAGGGGCCAGGAATGGAATAATATGGTTTGGCTGTCTCCCAACCCAAATCTCATCTTGAATTATAGTTTCCAAAATACCCATGAGTCGTGGGAGGGACCCAGCCAAAGGTAACTGAATCATGGGGATGGGTTTTTCCATGCTGTTCTCATGATAGTGAAGAAGTTTCACAAGATCTGATGGTTTTATAAAGGGCAGCTCCCCTGCACACACTCTCTTGCCTGACATCATGTCAGACATGGCTTAGCTCCTCCTTTGCCTTTCACAATGATTGTGAGGTCTCCCCAGCCATTTGGAACTGTGAGCCTGTTAAACTTCTTCTAGTTAGTATAAATTATAACATAAATTACCCTGTCTTAGGGATTTCTTTATGGCAATATGAAAATGGACTAATACAATAATCAATGACTGTAATGTAAAATACATGCAACGTAATGCAAAGCATTTTAGACAGGAAAGTCTGTACCACAGGATATTGCCATGAGTTATGGCTACTATGTAGTCTATTCAAGAGACATCATCCTAGCATTAAAAAAAAATAGACTCTACATGTCTTCATTTTGTAAGTAAGTTTTAAAAAGTACTTAACCTACATGAGGGACTTATATAAATATATGTGAAAGAGTGATTATTAAAAAATAGAACAATGTATTGCTTCAGCATCTTGATATTGACAATTTTATACAAAGACAAAGCAGTAAATTTGACAATTTTAGTAGATAAACATTTCTCTGGAAATCCTACACCCTAAAGATCAATGTTGCCAGATTTAAAAAAATGGAAAATATATTTTATTTTACTTTTTATAAACTTAGTGGAAACCAAAATAAGTTTAAAAGTCTGTAAATACGTATGTAATGGAAAAAAGAAAACAAAACATGAAATATGGAATAATAATCAATGACACACAGCACTAAAGTACTAAGGAAAGGCTAAATGAATTAGAAAAAACAAGCCACAATTAAGATAAATTACACAGAAATAGTTCTAGCTTTTGTATCAAATAACATAATCACATCAGAAAGTTTTTAAAGTATTTTTATCTTCTACATTTTGCTTAGCATTTTACCAGTCACCCATTTATTCAATAAATACTAATTAAGTACATTCTATATGCTACACAGAGAAAGTAAAATTTAGAAAAATAGATTTCTGGTCTTAAAAACAGAATATGTTAGTATCATTGAGTGTAAGGTACTATTCAATTGTAATAATAATATTACTCTTTCTACAAGAACATTTAGTCATTTCCAATTAGTTAAAAAATGACTTTAATTCTCATCATATCAAGAACTTGATGATATAATAAAGTATTTAACATTCAGATTAGATCTTCTTTAAATTTATAACCTTACAGTTTTTTAAGACTGAAAAGGTACAATAAAATTTAAGCTTTATTGAATTTATTAGTTATGACAATGGCAATCAAAGTTTCACTTCAGCAAACAAAAAACTACATGACCTGAAAATCGTAATAACAATAGGCACAAACCCTGCAGATAGATAAACTCAGTGCAAAATCTTCATAAACATAATTAGGGGGAAAAACAATGAAAATGAATGATATGAATTACTTTAGCTGTTACACATTAACAGTTTTATGGAAAAATACATTGAGGAAAGTGAAAAATCACAGCAATGTCTGAAAAGGTATTAAACAGATTATTAGCTTAAAAATGTTGTTTTGGAATAAGAAGCTTTTCAGATAATGCTTCTACAATTTGTTACTAAACAAGCATCTGTGCAAGAATCTGATTTTGCAAGAACATGTCAAAGTGCTTTATGTCAATATCTGAGTGGGCACATCATTTTATTCTGCTTGATTTTGTTTCCTGCGACGATATGTTTCCACTTTTTAAAAAGTATATTATATTCGGTGACTTAACAGATATATTTGATATCAGATACCTTGGCATGCCCCTTCTGTGACTGGGAATGTATGGCCTTTTAATAACATTTAGGTACCTCTTAAGCTATCTACCTCCTCTTAAGGAGTTGAGACATTTGATTCTCAACAGTTTCTATGGCTACTGGCAGATTAAGAAGTGTTTTTCACCTTAGAAGTGAAATAAACAAGGGAGGAAGCTGTGCTTTTGCTAGGCAAGCACAGCACCTTGGGGGTGGGTTTGGTTTTTGTTTCCTGTAAGAATATTCATTAACTACAAGCCTTCTGGTTTTTATAATTAATGACTGTGCTCAGTACACAATTAATTCTCTTATTGAGAAGGGAGTTTCATTATTGCTGCTGTTGCTGTGAGTGTATGATTTTTCTCCTATGTCAGTGCCAGATTCTTTGTAGTAGGTTGGTAGGTCACAAAAAACAGTTGACAGGCTAATTCTCTGAGGTCATGAGAACCAAATCTTGCTAAACAAATCTCATTCAGATGGTTATAGTCAATTACATACTGTTTCTATTTGACTTCTTTCTCTTGCTATCACTTCACAGGGGAGAAATGTTTCCTTCTCATGCTTAGCATTGGTAAGTTTGGGCCATACCAGATATGTAGGACAGGGTCTTTCTTTTAGTGGCTAAGTAGCAGCGATTATTTATATGATTAAAAAAATCATAATTGTTGTTGGGCTATGTAAGTATCTGTACTGGAAGATGTTATATTAAATATCCACCTATTTATCTTTTTTAATCTGAGAACCACAATACAGAAAAATAACTGGTGAATGATAAAAATTGGGTTGTACATTGTGTTATTTTTAATGACTAAAGCAAAGGAAAAGAAATCCAGTAATCCTGAAACTTGCAAACAGACAAGTTTCACACAATAAATCCAACTGGGACACCCCCAGAAACCAAACCGCATGCCTAGAACATCCTTGCCCTACCTGAAACTCTTTTACCTGGTTAACATCAATTGAGATGGTTTCCCTTTCTAGACACTTTCCCTGGTCCCCTTAGATTAGATTTGTCTCAAGTCTCAGGTAGTCCCATTGTATCCTGTGTATAACACTATCATAGCAATTACTCATTATGCATAAATCTCCGTGGTAGGCAGAATAATACACATCCCTTTCCCCCAAGGTATCCGTATGCTAATTCCCTGTACCTGTGAATATGCTACGTTACATGGCAAAAGGGACTTGGCAAATGTGATTAAAGTTAAGCACCTTGAGATTGGGAGATTTTTCTGATTATATTCAAGTGGGTCCAATCGAGTTACATGATCAGAAAGATGAAGGGAGAACTCAACACAATGTTGCTGGCTTTAAAGATGAAAGATGATGATGAGTCAAGAAATGCAGTGGCTTCTAGAAGCTAGGAATGGACCTCAGTTTACTGACGGTAAGAAAACAGGGCCTCAGTCCTACAGCTGCAAGAAAATGAATTCTGCCAACAACTTGGATTAGCAGGAAACAGATTATCCTGTAGGGCCTCCAGAAACAAACATAGCTTGCTTTTAAGTCCACTGTTTTAAGAGCACAAAATTCAGACAAAGCCTATTCATATATATAAATTATTATTCTTTAATAGTAATAATAACTGGAATGTTTTAGGATATATTTCATTGATTGTACACCATAACCTAGACAATTTGGGGGATAATAATGCCCTTCAGATTTCTCCTCAATGTCTCTGGCAATAGTATTGAGACAACCATGCATCTAGCTGTCTTGGTCCCCTAACCACGTCTTTATTCTTGAAGTGGATAACACAATGGAAATAAATTAATATGACTCACTTTAACTATAAATAAATACAAGTTAGGCACTAATTAGATACATTGTGTTTATCAACCAAATGGAATATTCAAAGACTTGAGTATATTTACTAAATGTAGATATTTCAAATTATTTTAGAAGTTTAGTGATTTTATATCTCCTTCTAAAAATATCTGTCTTAGATTTCCATACCACCCAAACCAAAGCAAAGATCCCAAAGTGATATAAGAAAAGAAAAAATGAATCATTTTCTTCCTGTGTTAACTGAATGAATAATTAGTTTTATTTTATTTTTACCTTTTAGGAAAGATTGAAATTCTCTGCCTTTATCTTCACTGACTTTTTCTTCTAGGGAGGAGTAAATGTTCCTTACATCATTCACAGTCAAAGAAATATTGTCAATTTTCTTCTGCAGAAGAGTCAGTTTCATTGCCTGGTAGTTCATCTGGTCAGTCATTTTTTGCATCACTTCTGCATATACAAGAGAAAACTGAGATCATTAAAAATACATTGTGACCCATAGTTAGGATCATAAAACAAAAACCCTTTCTTCTACAATCTGGAGCACAACAAGGATGCCCACTTTTACCACTCCTTTTTAACAAAGCACTAGAAGCTCTAGCTAGAGCAATCAGACAAGACAAAGAAATAAAGGGCATTCAAATTAGAAAGGAAGAAGTCAAATTATCCTTGTTTGCAGATGATATGTCCTTATAGTAGGAAAAACCTTAAAATTCCACACAAAGAAAACTATTGGAATGGATAAACAAATTCAGTAAAATTGCAGGATACAAAACCAACATATAAAACTCAGTAGCATTTTTATATACCAACAGTGAATAACCTGAGAAAGAAACAAACCAAAAAAAGTAATCTCATTTACAATAGCCACACATAAAGTTAAATACCTAAGAATTCAATTAACCAAAGAAGTGAAACTTCTTAACCAAAGAAGTGGAAGGTCACTATAATGAATACTATGAAACACTAATGAAAGAAATTGAAGATATGCCATATTCATGGATTGGAAGAATAAATATTGTTAAAATGTCCATACTATTAAAAGCAACCTACAGATTCAATGCTTATCAAAACCCTAATGACATTCTTCATAGAAATGAAGTACAAAAAAACCCCTAAAATTTATATGGAACGACAAAAGACCCAAAATAACCAAAGCTTACTTAAGCAAAAAGAACATAAAGCAACAACTGGAGGAATCATTCTATCTAACTTCAAATTGCAATATAGAGCTATAGTAACCAAAACAGCATGGTCCTGGCATAAAAACAGACATATAGACCAATGGAACAGAATAGAGAACTCAGAAACTAATCCACATACCTACAGTGAACTCATTTTCAACAAAGGTGCCAAGACCATACACTGGGGAAAAGACAGTCTCTTTAATAAATGGTGCTGGGGAAATTGGATGTCCATATGCAGAAGAATGACTCTAGACCTATATCTCTTGCCAGGCACAAAAATCAAATAAAAAAGGATTATCTATTGAAATCTAACACCTCAAAATGACTACAAACAAACATTGGGAAAAGTCTCTAGGACATTAGTCTGGGCAAAGTTTTCTTGAGTAATACCCCACAACCACAGGAACTCAAAGCAGAAAAATAGACAAATGGAATCCTATCAAGTTAAAATGTTTCTGCATAGCAAAGGATACAACCAACAAAGTCAAGATACAACCCACAGATTGGGAGAAAATCTTTGCAAACCATCCATCTGACAAGGGATTAATAATCAAAATATATAAAAAGTCAAAGAAGCTTATAAAAATCTGATAATCCAATCAAAAATGGGCAAAAGATTTGAACAGACATTTTTCAAAAGAAGACATACAAATGGCTAACAGGCATATAAAAAGGTGCTTAACATCACTGATCATCAGAGAAACTCAAACCAAAACTATTATGCAGTCGTCTGTCACCCCAGTTAATATGGCTTATATCCAAAAGACAGGCAATAACAAATGCTGGTGAGGATATGGAGAAAAGTGAACCTCATACACTGTTGGTAGGAATGTAAATTAATGCAACCTCTATGCAGAACAGTTTGGAGGTTCCTCAAAAAAACTAAAACTAGAGCTACCATATGATCTAGCAATCCCACTAATAGGTATATGCACAAAAGAAAGAAAATCAGTATATCCAAGAGTTTTATCTGCCCTCCCATGTATATATGCAGCACTATTCACAATAGCCAAGATATGGAAGAAACATACATGACCAGCGACAGATAAATGGATAAAGAAAATGTGGCATATATGCACAATGAAGTATTATTCAGGCATAAAAAAGAAAGCAACAACATGGGTGGAACTGGAGATCATTAAGCTAAGGGAAATAAGTCAGGCAAATAATGACAAACATTGCATTTTCTCACTTATTTGTGGGATCTAAACATCAAAACAATTGAACTCAAGGAGATACAGAGTAGAAAGATGGTTATTAGAGGGTGGGAAGGATAATGGCTGATGGGAGTGAGGTGGGGATGGTTAATGGGTGCAAAAAAGTGTTTAGAGCCTGGGCACAGTGGCTCATGTCTGTAGTCCCAGGACTTTGGGAGGCTGAGGCAGGTGAATTGGTTTGGCCCAGAAGTTCAAGACTAGCCTGGGCAACATGGATAAACCTTGTCTCTACCGAAAAAAAAAAAAAAATTGCCAGGCATGGTGGCACGCAAATAAGGTAATTCAAATAAACTATGTTTTCACTAATATATTTGAAAATATAGACTATTCATTTAGAAAATGGCTACTTGAATGTTAAGACTAAGTGTAGAAATTTGTAAAGAGTATTATAATAGCTTAGATTTCTAAAATGTTTTTTTTCCCAGAATTTTCAGTGTTTTAAAAAAATTATTTTTTTCCTGTTACACTCTCAAAAATAAACAAAGGGACAGAAAAAGTAACTCTCGCAATTACAGAGCTGATGGTTCATCTCCTGCTTCCAAATTCAGTACCTCAGCATTAAAAATATGCAGCTATATATGTGTATGTAGTTGTAGCTATGTTCTGAGTATTTTCTTGTTGACTCAGTATTCATTAACCAAAGATTAAGAAACTCATAATTTAGTTTGAATCACTTTATATAGGAATAATATTCTCTATCCCTTTACATATGCATGACAGTAATTCAAGAATTTTATGGTCTTTTACAAAGATACTGAATTTCAATCCCTTAAAAAATTACAATAGAATTGTTAGGGGATATTCAGCTGCATTCTTAAAGACAGCCCTTTAAGTCACATTTCTTGATTGAGTGCCTTGTTTTGTACGACTATATCTATGCCAAACACAGTAAGTAGATGTTTTTGGCAGCAACCAACCTTATGTTTCTAAGAGCTAAAGTTTAGCCTAAAAGAAATAGCAAACGATGATTAGAAAGATGAGAAAATATATGACATGCCAACTTTGGATCAGCAGGAGGTTCTTGTTGATTCTTAGTCATAATTCCATTTCCTAGGGATCAGTACCCGTTAAGTAATCAATGAATGAAAGAGAGCCTTCTTAGCTCCCTTAAAAGAACAAGTTGCTCCTTCCATGTCAAGGGTCTTCCATAATGACACTCTTTGGAAAAAAAAGTTTGGTCTTATTTTGGAAAGCTGTGATTTCTTTACAACCTAGTATCATAGCATTTTCACTCCTGTGTTTGCACACAGAGCTTCAATAATTATATGTGGTCTTTTCAGTCTGGGAACCTATTATAGCTCATCCACAATTTCTCCCAACATCAAGCACCAGCAGAAAAAGACTGAGAAGTATGTTAATGTGTCACCATCAATCATTTGACAACTAAGAGATTTCTTGTCTGGAAGTTGTAATAAATAGTATTGACAATAATAGAGTTAGAGATTATAGTAATTACAATCTATGACCTGGGTCACCACAGTCTTGCTGCTGCTGCTGCTCAGCTACTCCTTTGCCAATAGCTGTGTGACTTTCAGCCTGGTTGGTGTGTATCAAATGCTGCTGTTCCTGGGCTAGAAGGAAGCAGAAAGAGAAGAGAGAGAGTTAAGCACTGGAACAGCCTCATTTATTCCAGTCCTGAGCAATAATGTGGCTGACATACATTTTCCCGTGTACAAGTGATGGTCAGGGCTGATTGCAGAGTAAGCTGCTCCGCCCCTGACCATAGGGCAATGTGACACCACATTGGGGTGGGAAATGCAAGACTCCAATTCTGCATGGAAAAAAATAAAATTATTCAGGCCTCCTTTCCATGAAAATGGATGGTAATTTGGGGGAGCTGTGTAAACTAGCAGATGTAAAATACCTGTATAATTGAGGGGATTTTATAATCCGCTGTGTTAAAAGCTATAGCAGCTTTATAAGTGGACTGCCACAAGGGCTGATTATTTAACAAGGCAATTTCCAACTGGTGTCTACTTGGAAAAAAGGGAGAGCCACAGGCTCTATAGCCACCTAAAACTATTGCAGGTACATTTCAAGAGAATCAACTGGTAAAGTCAGTGAAATTTCAGAAAGTAGAAATTCTTGTAAAAGAAATCTACTCTGTTGAAGAATTTAATATAAATCAAGTAATATTTCCCATGAATTAAGTAAGATTTTAGTGGCAATGGAGTTTTTCATTGAGGAAAATAATTTAGAGAAATGATCTATTTAAAACATTGAGAACAGGCCAGGCACTGTAGTCACACCTGTAGTCACACCTGTAGTCCCAGCACTTTGGGCGGGACTTGAGGTCAGGAGCTCGAGACCAGCACGGCCAACATAGTGAAATCATGTCTCTACTAAATACACAAAAATTAGTTGGGTGTGGTGGCAGGTGCCTATAATCCCAGCTACTCAGGAGGCTGAGGCAGGAGAATTGTTTGAACCTGGGAGGCGGAGGTTGCAGTGAGCCAAGATCATGTCATTGCACTCCAGCCTGGATGACAGAGCAGGACTCCACCAAAATGAATAAATAAATAAACGAAATAAAAATAATAAATAAAATATTGAGAACATCAAATAATATATGTCTTTAATTTACAGACTTCTAATGAACAAATTTACCCACTGAAGTCTGCATGTCAGACATGAGAAACAAGTATTTTGTGTCTGGCTATGCTTCTTCCCACATGAATTTAGGAACCAGTGAAACTCCACATCTCTAGCACATGTTGATTATACTCCCTAAGCCATATGTGGCCGTGACTATAATACACTTCCCTACTCCACAGGAAGTATATTTGGCATTAATTTGGATGAGTCTCTATTGTTCGACTGACTTTTTTATTTTTTATTCTTCAGGGCGTTGAGCTAAATTAATGAATTTCCATTCATGTCTATGATTTTTGTTTTGATGCTATTTCTTTTTTTTGTTCATTTCCTCCACTGTATTCTATAAAGTCCTGTGTAATTGTTGACTGATGTATCGACAAAGGCAATCTGCAGCTTGGGGAAAAGTGTAATTATTTAGGGGCTGGAGTGGGTGGGGAAAAGTGTAAATCTTCTTCTAAGACCTAGCAATAAGGTCGTTATAGGTGTAAGTTTAAATTAATTCATACGCATACAACCATTTAATCATTGCACAAATTTTTATCATGACTCCTCCTTAAAAGGTGGAATAAAGCATTTTATTCTGGCAGCTTAAGTGTAAATCCATCCAAGAGTATAACTAGAGAGTAAAGCAATGGTTCTGAAACTGGGGTCCCTTAATCAGCAGCGTAAGCATCACCTGGAAACTTCTGGAGATAGAACTTCTGGAGCCCCACCTTAGACCTACTAATTTAAATATGAATGTTCAGGATACAAACTTGCAAGTATTTATAGCGGTAAGAACATGTGGATTTAACAGGATGAACAAGGATCTTTCCATTTATTTGCTGCTTATCTTTTTTGGCTAAATCATAGGAACAAAAAAGCTGGTGCATTTGCAGGTAGGAACACAACTCAGTAGACTGGATATTTTCTGAGGAAAGGAAGCATAATTATAGTAAAAGCAAAGATAATATTGTTTTGTGGTATACAAACAAGGTTACTATTCAAATTTCCTTTCCTATCATTAACTTTTATTATAACACATATTTCTTTACATCCCATTAGAATGCTGTTTTGTTTTGTTTTTTTCCTCATGGATGGAAATCAGAAATTCCTATAGACTTTGAAACATTGTGTTCTTGTTTTTTTCACTCTCTCAACTGAGATTCTCATTCAGTGGATCTATTTTGGGGAATGGGGCATGTGTGTATTTTTTTTTTTAAAAAAACTCTACACTTGATTTCTCTATGCATGGCCCTGGTTGTGAACACTATTTTAGAACAAATTGCTAAGCTTTCTATTTCTAAGAGGTAAATTCATTGTATAATGCTAGATATGTTAATAGTAAAATTGCAATCCAGAAGTCGATCTTCGTAGTCTTTTAAAGAGCATTCCTGTTTAACAAAGGCATATGTGGAAGACATGATTTATTAAATTCTGGGAAATGAAAACTTTGAGTCTTATACCATTCCTTAAGAGTAAGTGAAGTGAGATGGGGGTGGAAGGTGCCTTTCACAGCTTCCTGATTTCCTTATGTAGATATTGCCATTCTTTCTATTGTTATAACACAAGATTCCCTAACGAGGCACTGCTAAGCATGGAAGCATATGAAGAGTGTTTGTGCTGCCTTCACAGCAATCAAATCTACAGCCCAATGACAATTTTAGAATGTCTCAGAAATAAAATCGCTTTCCACTCAAAAGCCAGACTGTTGCTCCTTACTCCCATCTAGCAACATTGCACATTCCCCAACTCCATGATTGTGTTTCGTCAGTATGTAGCAATGTGGTTGGCCAATTGTTAAAATATTGAAATATAATTATAATAAAGCCACAACTGTTGGCAAATACATAATGCTGAAGTCCAAGAACTGAAAAGCTTAGTTATACAAATTATAATATTAACTAATTACAAGTTAATCATGGATACCTGATAAAGGATGTACTTTGTAGGATATGTGATGAATGGAATTCTTACTGTGGCAACATCTGAGAACTATTTTTCAAAATTAGTGTTTTGTTGGACCCAAGTCAGACAGTGTATAGATTTGAAACAGTCAGTGTTTTAGGAGAATGAACAGTTTATTATTACTTATGATTTATGTATTTGCACTAAATCATTTGATGCTCAATTTATTTGACTTATTAGTAAGTGCTGATTGTTCTGATTGCATTGTTATTTGATAACTATAGTCCAGAAGTTTATAGTAAATTACTGAAAACACTGAAAAAGAGACAAAAGTTTAACCAAATTTTGAAAGCATTAGTTTCAGTTATCATGAGTATGAATTTTTTGAATCTGACTACAAAATGAAAATTTTATCATTTAGGATCCTAGCCCTAAATTAGCTAATGACACTGTGCCAAACTCAGCTAGTCTGGAGCATCTTTTAATATGTACAATATCTAAATAATACCAAATCATTTTAAAAAGTAAATTCAATATACAATAAATAAGTTAAATTACTTGAATGAAAATCAACTTGATTTTCAATATTGGTAGATTATTTTTTCTTGCTAGGCAAATGTTGGATTCAAACAATGCTACAGATTGGTGTAATAGAAAATTAAAATTACGATATTCATTTTTCATAATGGCATTTACCTATTATGTTAAAGATTATTTGCAATCATGAATCGTGAAAATATTAAAGAATGTTATGCAAGTAGTCTCATGAAATAAGTATTCCTAATAATAAAAATTTTCAATGAATGACATCAATTGAAGTAAATAACTTAAAAAATACCTTATCAGATAATATTAATAAAGTGCCCATAAAGTAAATAAAATATTTAGAAAAAAATCAGAATTTTAAATTATTTCTTATTTAAAATAATAAAGCATTTTAGAAAAGAAAAATATCATGGAACTTACCTAATATAATTCTGACCTAGGAATGTCATTGCAAATCAGTTTTATGATACCACTTTTTGTAAAACAACTTCTTGGAAAACTTAAAAGTCAACTTAATAAAATTAAAAAATATTATTAATAAAACTTGAACTCTTTCATATACAAACATTTTCACAATTTTCCTAAGATGTAAAAATCCAGAATTTTAAAGCAGTTAATTTTTTAAAATCTCAGTAAATTAGGAGGAAAAACACCTTTAATACTACATTAGTAATGTAGTAATACATATGAACACTCAAGAAAGAAAATCTCCATGAAATTTGTATATGTGAAAATTTAACTTTTTAGACAAGTAAAGCCAGTGCACTAATAGTGAAAAAGTAAACCAGGAGTTTCAGGCAAAACTAGATAGATGTCTGTTTTTTAAAAGTTTTGGCACTAAAAGTTACTGCATTCAAATATTTCTGACTGAAACTATAATGTGTTATCAAGTAAAGACTTGAAATCTTTTCAAGTCTTTGAAAGATGGAAAGACAGAGAGATGCAAAGCAAGAGAACAAGCTAAAAATTAAAATAATGGAAGAATATTTGGGCTTCAAAGAAAGTGTGTGATGTTACAGCTAAAAAGGCATTTTGTAAATTATATCAAGTCCTACATACTCACTTGCATATAAATTGTGAAATTTAACATTTTGATAATAAACTTTTTCCAAAAAAGAATGGATTTTCAGAGATGACACTCTAACAGAAATGCAAATCCTTTTTCAGCTTTAGAAGAAAAGAATTTCCCTTGCTAAACTGGAGATAGTTTAAAAACTGATGAAAAATAGTATAGACAAAAAAAATTTCATGTATTCTGTAAATATATATTTGAAAAATATATATTCTATTTTAAATGACTATGTATTAACTGAAATATATAGATTATATAGACTATTTGAAACAAAAATTAGTAAAGACAAACTATATTTTTAAAAATAATTCTTTGCCGGGCACGGTGGCTCAAGCCTGTAATCCCAGCACTTTGGGAGGCCGAGGCCGGTGGATCACAAGGTCGAGAGATCGAGACCAACCTGGTCAACATGGTGAAACCCCGTCTCTACTAAAATACAAAAAATTAACTGGGCATGGTGGCGCGTGCCTG